GGCCTGTGTGCAGCACATTCAGTTGTAGAATATCATAAGCGAGAGATTTAGTTGAATCTCCCGTGAAAAACCAAATTGATTTAGAAATGAGTGTATTTCTCGAAGAATGATAGTTCTTACGTTTTACCCGAGGGTAATTACTCAGTGATCATGAAAGCAGATGAACTTAGTATTTAGTTATATTTAAATGAAATTCAAAAACTGGGGCAGTTGTGCAGGTAAGATCTATCGCTGCCAGATTTTGGTGTTCTGTTGTTTAGCCGTTTGGTAAGTTTCTCTTCTGCACTTCTTCTGGCGTGCTCCGGTCTTCAGTTTGCTTACTGTCCAATTCTTCAGTAAAAGAAAAAACGGAAGGATGACTTCGGTGGTATAAATCTGATATTCGTAAAAATTAGAAAACAACTGCTCTCCTGGTAGAATGGTGTGTTTCATAAAAAACTGTCATACAAAATGAAAAAAGCACAAAAACATTCGTCAGAATATCCGATGGAATAGATTCATCTCGAGCCCGGTATTTGAATGAGCGCCTAAGCCCTGTCTTGTCAGTCTTTGGTTCCTCAGTAGCCCCAACATTTGCGCCCATATGAAGCCGGTAGTAAGAGCAAACTGACTTGACTAAGTCAGGCTCATTTCACCAGAATAAATATATCTAATTCACCACAATTCCACTGTCCAACCCTTGTTTGAAAAATCTGATAATACATGGATTCTCAAGACATCCTTCGTATTGTAGTTTCATGTTGCAACCTTGTGTTGGATATGGTTCCATTATAAACGTCAGAGAAAATTTCAAACAAGATGTCTAGAAACATGGGATGTTCAAACATATAATGGATTCTTTGGTCAACGGAGATTCAGTTACCTGCTGAATTCCCACTCGCTGTTGTCCAGTGGGCATCGAGGATGCGCACTCGTCTCTAGCCACCGCTTGATGCAATGAAGGTGGTAGGCATGCTGAAATGTGGGAGAGCAGGTTTCAAATGCTTAGCCAGATGTAGAGCGTTTCATATTTGAGGGAACAGTGTTTTAGTGGTACCCTTTCCTTGGGTGCGCGGTACCATCCTGAGTGGTAAAAGCTGGGACATTTTACAAACAAACATGATCGTCACTGCACATCACACAAACAGATTTGAGGTCAGAATCAATCACGATGTTACATACTCTAAACGAAAAATCAAGCTTAAGTATTCTCTGTGTCTACAGATTATTCGTAAACTCTATTCTCTCTCTATCATTCTCTCTATCATTTTCGTATTCGTCCAAGGGATGCTGACGGTCAGTGATCGCTTGCATCATGTGTAATCCCATCCGTAACAATTCCAGCTTTGAAGGCAGATGTTTCGACTGAAGTGCACTATGGGCGATCAACAGTTATAGTAATGGTATTAAAGCCTTATGTTGAGAGCACGGGTTTACTGGGTCGTTTTGTAGATAAGACGACCTCGGTAGTTCTCTGTGAAAGAACTTTATGCCCCCAGGACATCTCTGGGTTATGACTATTTGGCAGAACGTATAGCTCAACGTCAAAATTAGGTCGGCACTTTTACAAGGCGCGACAATGTTGTACTACGTTACTTTGTCAAACAAATAAAAATTACAAAAATTAAATAAACCTATAGCAGCTTAGGTGCGGCAAACCCTTTAGCTCAATTGGGCGAAAGAAAAAAGATTAATAATAAGGGAATGTTGTGCAGTTTTCGAGTTCCTGAGGAGTGAGGATGATGTAGTGCGCTTACCGAGCTAATCAAGACGCGGACGAGTCACTATTCACTTTTAGAGAGAAAAGTTGTTAACGTTTACATGGCTACACCTTCTTGCATTGCTCCCAACAATGTAAGCAACTTCACCCATGCCATTTATCAGCACTACAGATCGACTGATATATTTTTTTCCTCATTATGTTAAACTATTTAATAGTGAACCACTGCTCCTTACATGTCCCCAGAAAGAGCCTGCAGGGAGGGAACTACTGAGTACCAACACTGCTTTCTCATTCACAAGATAAGAATTATCCAGAATGTAGGTAGCTTGGGTGCGTTGTTTGGGTGTTGGTCTGTTGGCCGAGCTTGGTAGTTGGATTGCAAACGTTTCATCACCCATCGACGTGACATCTTCAGTGCAGGGTTGAGTGAGACATATTTTATCTTTCGTGGTTGCTCAGAAATGTGTGATTATACACTGAGCAGTTGGTTTATTGGAATACGTTCAACTAGATGTAATGAAATGCTTACGAGCATCTACCATGTCAAAAAATCTGCATTGAAACCAAAGCCCAATGAGCGAATGACATCTTACTGCTTCTCGGCCTGAACTTGTGCTTATAGGACACAAAACGAAATGTTTCGAACTCCTCAAGTAAACCCAGTTTGGTCTAACCCCCGCAGAACTAGCTAGTGCTTTACTAGGAAAGCTTTTCCTAATCAAGATCCGGGTTTGATTAGGATCGGAAAATGTGCATCAAAGTCTTCGAACATGGACCGGGCCCATAATTTGCGCTTTTGTAGGAACTTAACCAGGATTCAAGGAACCTGTTCAACTTTTGCACACTCTTCGGTCCTTCAACGTTACATCTTTGATATTCTGCTCAGTTGCATATTCCCTAGGTTATAGTATTTTCAATGCCCTTCCTAGCCACCTATTCTAAAGTGTCATACTGACCAGCAGATGCCACTTCAACTGCGTTGGTCGATGACCACCTAACAGCTTTCTGTGTTTATGTGCTTACAAATTAGACGCATATTACAATGAACGTGCAGCTGCCCATAAAGCCAAAGTAGTTGTTTTATATATAGCAATCCACCTGATACGTCATCCTGACCTCCGAAAGTCAGCTGTGCTAACACGATCCCATCCTTTCCATGGTCGAATCAGCTCCAGCTTCATTGCGCATGATCTGTTAGGCTGGCTACATTGATTAAAGTATGTCCCACCCACTGAGTGTTCAGGATGCGCTGTTGTATAAAGGGTCCCCAAGCCTTAGCACTTGCCAAATTTTCATATTTGAGAATAGACCAACTGCTAAATGGACGTGAAGTCCAATATTGCTACCTATTTTCGTGTGATGTCGAGCACAGTTAGCCATCATGGTACGGTTTCAAGTATTTGTCTCATCCAAAATACCTTACTTCATGACTGAATCTCATTCGGACTCTTTATCTGGTATAGAGACCCCAAGGCAGTCAGTCCAGTACATGGTACTGAAGCTTCAAAACTCTTATCATCCAACTCGGTCAGGTTGGTACCTGTCTTTTCCCCGCATGGGGACCTCGGGATACGGCAGGCCAACGCCCTTGCGGACTGACTGTTTGACTAATAAGAAAAACAATATGAAGATTAATCCTTCGAACCATTCATCCTCATCTATTCAGCACTGTTGACAAAGTTATGTTCAGCTAAAATCTGGCGATTAGTGATGCCCCTTTTACCCCACTGTTTATCCGAATCCATCACTATTAAAGCGAATGCGGTATCCTAAATTTGTGCTTCCAAGAATTACACAAAACAATGGTTCATAACCTCCACAACCTAGCGGATAAATTTCATTCTCGACTGTTTACAAAGTGGCCAAATTTCCGTTATTACCCGAAATGTAATAAATAAGCTATACCCAACTTTTCTTTCCATAATCAATAAGCTAAATTTGAATACAACTTTTACACTGACATCTGACCGAGGGACTTCGTTTTTCCTAGTAGTACAACATAAAAATTATTTGTGTTCTGTAACCCCTGTAGGCATTGCAGCAGCTCGGTGAACTCAAATTTCTGTAGGGGAGGGAAGAGCAAGAAAATCTCTACTTCCCATGTCGAGGCCAAAAGCATGTTCGCTTATGCAAACGTCTTCGGGAATTTCGATTCGTTGATGTCCACCTAGATTGAGCACTTATTTACCAACTGAGTGTGAAAAAATCACGAACGAAACGTTATAGTGTAAGCTGGAGGAACAAACGGATCCTGTTCACACGAAAAGGTTTAAAGATCGCTAGCAAAGCGTTAGTGCATAAAAACCACTTAGTACTCCATAAGGCGGCACAACTCGCCCAAATATTTTTTTAATAAACATGAGAGGTTAGTGTGCGAAATACGAGGTGCTTCTCTAAACATATTTTGATATTAGCAGAACTCCAAGCGTCGGCAGAGTCTGGATAGAAATTAACAGCATTTAAGCAACAATTACTCGCTTTCTCCAAAATCAAAATGGGCACCAAAATCAGATTTTGCAATTCAGTCTGGACCGAGCCTAATCAGAAGCCCCATAAGTTATATCGAATTTCACAGGGTTTGTATTGCTTTCCTTGATATTTTGCGGCAACTCAAGATGGGCGACAAAATTCACTCGGATGATACCTATGACCTTCAGACATTTGCACTCCTTAGGTCAGTAAGACGTCGCTGCCGAACTTCTTATTGCAAGCACTTCCTAGTTAGGCTTCATTTTGATGACTATGGCGAAATGTCCCGCATAGGTATCCTAGATTCTGCCACGCAGGCACAAACGTTTGTGCCTACTGCGGAGACTGTGAGTAGTATCAGAAGCCCCACCAAATTTCTTCATATATTGCGTTCATAACGGATGCACAAAGACAAGTTTTTATAAACCCCTGTACACCATCTTGACATCTTCATAAGGTCTACGGAACGCTGCATAATGATGGCTTTGTTGATATCCGCGTACTCTTCCTGCATGACGTTATCTTCATACTTCATTTTAGTAGAATATCTCAGTTGCAGCTTGAATCAAATGCATTAGGAAATAGGCTGGAAAATACCAGCTCTTCAAGGACAAACATCCGGAGACTTTCAAAAGCACATATCAAGCTGAATTTTCCAAACCCTGTGAAATATATTTTCATTCCGATTTGACCGCATCACCATACTTTGCCGCTTTACATCATATTCTTTTGCGCGAGCATTCAACCTTGAATTATTACTTGTTTTCCTTTTCCATACATCAAACTTATCCAGCTAAATGCATCCTAGGCTTTATTAATTTGTCATTGGTATCGATAACGGGAACCCGGTCTAGGGTCTAGTCAATCCGTTCAGTACAGGAAATTACTATTCCGTAATATATAGACGTCGTTTAAGCATAGTGAATTCACCATGTAAACTCATAAATTAACATCCTTCTACAATGCTAGCCGAAGGATCTTGCAAAATTGTCAGTAGTCAGCCTAATCGAAACACACACTTATCGAGAGCAGGCAAAAATTTTGTTAAGGGGAGCAACTCAGCATTTGTTAGAATGAGACCCAAAGACCACACGAACACGGTTGAAGTGATTGCGGAGATTGGGTAATACAAAGAGCCTGCTGGCGCAGCAAATTTACCGATAATTACTCGGTGTTTTCAGTTGAAACACGTACATTGCACACACCCCAAGCAATGGCACAAACTTCTTCAAGAGGATTTGTCCCGACTTTGGCTTGGCAGTGGATACCTATCAAGAAAAACCGGCAGTTAGAAAAAGTGGTTAATTAATTTCTGTTGAACACATGTTTATTGTCAGAAGGCGTCAAAAAGGCGCTTCTTGGACCAAGCGTTTATATTCTGATTTCCATTGCAGTGGTATCTTTGAGAACAAGGCTTTAACCCAAAATTAGCAAAAACATTAACGGTTTAAATTCGAATTGAATGAAGTAGAATCATAATTTATCAAAACAAATTTTGTTTTTCTACAATCCGATAGCTGCATTGATGTGATAATAAAATGATTTTTTCAGAATCTTTAAAACTAAAAACAGGGAACAATGATGCTCAATCGCCACAGGTTTATTCTTGCTTCGGGCGTGTAACAGACAAGTGTCACATCAACAATCATAATATAAGCATCACGACAGTGAGGTTGGTGAAGTATTCTGTTCAAAAATGACCGAAAAATGTACGGCATGTCAAAGCTCACAAGAAAAGACGCTCACGGGGTGCTCAGCGATGATGAATTTAGCCTTTATCCCTTTCCGAAGATGGATACTAGTTTTGAACTAGTAGTATGAAGAGATGGCTAGATTGATTCATTTTTCTAATTACACATTTTGCCTTCAACTCTGACGTCAATTGGCGACCGATCGCGATGTTCGCGAGATGATAGAATATTGATTGGTTGCTTCAGTGTTGAGTAGGCAACGGGCTTGTGGATGAGAGCAGTGAATCCATCAGGAATAGATTTTTTTAGAAAAACTGTTAGACTTGAGGCGTTTTTATTTTAATCTTCCGTTGCATCATATCATTCGTAGTTTGAAGATTTGCTGATCATCATAAGGACAAAGTAAATCGTCCCAGTAATCCACAGCAACCATCAACAGTGACACTGACAGAGACAATAATACGCCTCTTAATCTGAAAACATTATGATTCCAGTATTCTACCAGCAAATGTCTTCAACGAGTATCCGAAGTAAATATATGCCCGCCTGGCCGCTGAAATGCGCACATCATCAAGAATAAAACTTTCCCAGAAATCTCACGTTTCTCTGGCATATATAGACACACCTACTTCAACACAATAATTAAAGCTAAGCATACACATATCGAAGTCAGCAAGCTCACCTCAATTAACACTGGTAGCTGACTTTACAAAACAGTTACATGCACCGTAATAGAGTTTCTTCCCTGCAAGTCGAACCATTCTGTACCAAAAAGCCGGAAAGTAGTGTGCAGATGTTTCACACCCACTGCAAATCTACATCATCATCATCGTCAACAGTATGACATCAGTGTTCAACACCGACCCTTCACTGCCGTACAACCATGACTTATTTGAAGGCCTTATTGTAAAGAAAAGAGTAAATGTGGACAGGGAAGGGACCAAATGCTAGCTTGTTACAATCATTCCGAGGTGCCTACACCTCCAGACATTCACTCAGGCAATCTGGATAGAAACTGACAACAAAAACGCCACTGACGTCGATTGGTAGCCATATCTTGTAGTGTCTCCAATCAGGCACAGTGAGGATCACGCGGTCCCCATCCTGGAAGGCGAGTAGCTCCGACAGCACCCAAGCGTTTCGTGATCTCCTTCATACTCCTCTGCCAAGTCAAGGGTTGGCCACCTCTCTGTTTACGCCACTCTGAGTTGAGCATGGAAAACAGCAATGCCAAGCGAGGCCAGTACATATGTTGTGAAACTCCAATGGCTCTCGAACCCCAAACCTTTTAATCAGCAGTCTGAAAACTGAACCCCTTCTCTAGAGACTAGCTGAACAGCAGAGTGATTAAGTCACACTCAAACAGTATATTAGTTTACTCTTAGCTTTTAAGCACAGGTTGGCTTCACAGGATAAAATTTCCACTAAGATTGGAAAAACCTCCGCACTGCTGACAACTATATACATATTTCTACATGTTACCGTAAAACAAAAGCTTTTTTGAGGCTTAAGCTGTAAAGAGCTTTAACGGTCCCGATTAACGTCAATTTTGCCAACTCTCAAAAGCCTTTTTCTCGTACTTTTGATGGTTTGTCTCACAGTTCTTATCTAGCTAAAATGTCTCTGGCGGTTGCAAAACGCTAAAGAGCCACTCAGGTTTCTATGGGGCTAGTGGGCCAAATTAATTGCAGCACTCCTGATAGGTGCACAGTTATTCACAGCATAGCTCAGTAAACCTATGGAAAGATGAATTTTCCCAACCAAGAATTTATAATTTGGGATACTATGTTCGGGATTATCAGGCTAAATACAAAGACAACGAGGAAACTCACATAAACTCATCATTGCATTACGACAGATGACGCATGTATCATGCATAACATCCCACGACCAGTAGACACATGCGCTCCAACGTTTGATCTGAAACCGCTGAGGTACTGCATCGCTTGTTGGGGGTAGATCTGTCAGGTTCGCACCACCTGCTTCCAGTAACATAAGCTCTTTTGCACTATCAGTCAATCCCGTGCTATCCATTGCAGCGTTAGTGACAGAACCCGCTCCGTCCACGGTTGGAGCAGCATCCATGCCAGCGGGTGGCTGTGTACTCCCGCCCATATCCACGTCACGCTGAACATCAGTAGTACTGACTGGTTTCTTCTTACGCCAAAGCATACATTCTTGTACCATACAATGTGGGCGGCTCAAAGGCGCGTCAGTGTATGCACCACCTGATTGATCGAACTGTACAGTTCAAAACAGCCAGGTGTTTGTCACGTGATAAGCGGGTGGATGTTCTAACTTACTAGGGATTACGTAAACGAGAGCGGATTCCTCAAGCTCATCCGGCAAATCGAGTAGCGAATTTGCAGCCAAACGTGATACTTGTTTCTGTAGGTTTGATATCCTGTGGAAATAACCATTACAACCAAATTCATTTTTACCAGACACCTTTATGTGTGATGTTTGGAGCTCATGATCCTTTCGTCTGCTTACTAACATTGGTGCCTAGAATCCAAAAACACGACGCAGTACATTATCGCTGTGTCGATAAAATGTCATTATTTTGTTCCAGACTTATCACAGTTGCTTAGCCACTTGTGACCTACTGGTGAATTCAATAGACCCTTGTTAAATAAATATTCAGCTATTCGAAATAAAAAAGGATCGAATGCCTAACCTCTGTTCAACAGCCACTTGGTTTGATCAGCTCACCGCAGTACACAATAAGCAGCCCAGTGTTCCCATACTTGGATTATCACTAGAGTTTTGACAGACAATTTCGTTGTGTTGAACCAAGACGTCAAGGAGAAAGTAACAAAAGGCAGAAATGTTTCAATTCGGTAGCAGTGAATTATAAAGTTATTATTTAATCCACCCGGCCGTCAGACCGCCAAACTCATTAGGAACTCTGGGCTTAATATCTATTAGTTGATTTCTCCACGTGTGAAATTCACTCCGAGATTTTCACCTTTAAATTAAACTGACTAGCATGTCACATTTGATTCTCACACCTCTAGTCACGGATTAACCTAAGGTTTCTGCTAGGCCCGGGGTTAGTTCCTAGTATTGGGTTCTGTCTCAACAACATGTGCACCTTTAGCTTCGGGTTTGTACTTAACAGTTAAGAGCTCTAACCCGGGTTCACAATCGTGTGATATGGATGGCGCCCCCAATTCAAAATCTGGCAGAATGTGGTTAAAATATCTAGTCAATAAGTAGTTCTCTTTCACTTGGATAGAGCCCAGAACATAATGGATTCTGAAAATACCCCTTTGTTCGCAAAAATAACTGCACATCCGAAAGTGCTGAAGATATAGAAGTAATCAGTGAATCTTGTTCAGCATACGAATACGCTTGAGCTCTTAATCAATAAATGTATTTTGAATTCCAACAATAATTCTCCACATGCTCGTAATTTACTTCCATTTATTGTTTGAGTCACGGATGAAGTCGTATGATGAACCCCTAATGTGAAGAGCAGAATGTGGACGCACTTTGAGTGGGACAGTGCTAAACAGGATATTACAATTAGTTCAATATTTTGTACTCAGGACTTTCTGAGATGTTGCAAGGTGAATAAAACGCACACGTAAATTGTCGACAAGCCTAAAAACGCAGTGTCTACCGTGGGCGGGTGACAGATCTCAGTGTAATCGTAAAGATCCAATGTCGGAGTAGCATGAACGAGCAGACTCTTACCCTATGCTTGCCTCATATCTTTTTTGGGAAAAAACAGTTTGGTTCTGAAGCTCAGCGACGCTCACCTGCCGCGTCTAGATAAAATGGAGGACATGCGCTGAATTTCAGACAAAGTCATTGTACCAAGATCATCTCGAAGAATTCATGAAATCATAAGGGCGCATAATCCTGAAAATAGCCCTACCTTTTGAGCCTTGCATTTTACGATAAACCTTGTATGATGCAAACACGCAGGGTTTTGGACAGGCCATTCCATGTTGAAAATAGTCTGTCGGAAGCCAGTATCACAGAGCTGTTATCCAACAAAGTTTGAGGTTATCAACCTCAAACCTCTCGTACATATAACCACTGAAGCAGCCCAACAAAGTTTGAGGTTATCAACCTCAAAGCCAGCAGGTGTGTTCTCATACATATAACCACTGAAGCAGTACACCTGAAGCAACCTAGGAGATGACGGAGCAAACAAGAATGTCCTCGGCCGCTATGCTTTTTCGTACTCTGCTGAATGGGGCCGTGCACGTTTGAAAATCCTGTGTCCCAAAGAACGTCGTATCCTTTTTCGACTACCCAGCTATTTCTTCCTAAGGGTCCGCCCCTTCATAAAATGTCCCCTATTCCCCTATTACTTTCAGTAAAATATCTGCTCATGCTTGCGTTCTCAAATAAACATCGAAGATATCACGCTTATTTGACGGATGAAAATTCGAGAAGTACAGTACCGAAAATTCCTGCTCAGAGTGGGAAGTCACTCGAAAACTTCTTTGGGTCTTGATCTGTACTACTAAACAGGATAGAAGTTTTTTACCCAGAATCCCTGTACGAACCTCCTGTTCCTATTTCATCCAAATGTCCCTCCAGCTACTAAATCCAAACAATGAGCAATGTTTCTCTTTCATCGCAAAGGAAAAACTAAGAATTCATGTATCATCCGCCCTGATTGACTGGAAGTAGACAGTGCTCTGAGTGGAACTGTCAATAATCGGTTTAATAATACATCCAGAAGATGGATGTAATCATTCGGTTTTTCTGTGGGAACTTGTACTTTTTTATCCTCAACATGCTCGTGATGATGACTGGACTCAAATCTCACCCCTATAGTCGGAGCACGTTTCCGAAGTTAATCCCAGAGCATATCAGCAAGATATTTTTCTGTGGGAACTTGTACTTTTTTTATCCTCAACATGCTCGTGATGACGACTGGACTCGAATCTCACCCCTGTAGTCAGAGCACGGTTCCCAAGTTAATCCCAGAGCATATCAGCAAGAATTGAAGTCTCTTGGTAACCCCCGAAGTTTTTGCTTTTGGAGCAATTGTAACACAAATGTGCATTTATAATCCAGGACAGAAGGAGGATACTTGTCACGGTGGTTGGAGCTTTATTTTTGGCGCATGTGCAATCATAGGTTCCGAATAGAAGTTCATTTTCAACTAGGATTTCGTCCTGTGAGTGAGGCCAGTCTACGCCGAAACGCTAAGCAGCACTGTCGTGTTGCTTTATTGGTAGTGAGCACCATCAGCAGTGCCATTGTCATGAAACTCCAGGGGTTTTGGATCCTTTTGATTGGAGGTTCAACCCGTCACCATTTGGCTTTCGGTGATCAAATACAGAGAATAACGCTGCCAAACTTTCGGTTACAGGAAACATCACGTGTTCACTTATTGACTGATTCCTCTTGTGTGACCTTCTGAAAATGGGGATTCCACTCACCTAGTGCAATTTTTGTTCCTTTGTGTCACTTTTGGACTGATCACAGTGTGCGAGGATTTTGAAATTCCCAGCTGAAGTACATGTGTTATCAGAATAGAGAGCATAGCTCTATACCTGATGATTCTATGCGTTATATCCAGAATTAAAGTGCAACACATGATCTCTAGCAAGCTTATCCCTGTCGGATATGCTCTGTACTTCTAGCCGGTCACTGAAGGCATCATATTAGATGGAACAACAAGAGCGGCCATCCGGCAAACCATGCAACACTGGCGCAAATGGACCAATTTGCTCAATTAGTCGAAACAAATAAGACGACATAGTTCTGCTACCTGGTACCCGCCACCTAGTCAAACAAATGGCTTGACATAGTCATTTCGACTATTGTTTAACGTGAACATGTTTTCACTTTTGATCAGCGAGGCTAGTTTCGACATACATAAGTATCTACACTGGTGTTCTGGAAGTCAAATCTTCGCAACCTTAGCTGCTCTGCTGATTTCAAAGTCCTTCCAGGTTTTGATCTGTTGTGTTTTGTCGTCACATCATGTCATCGCTTATATCAGTCCTTAATTGATGTCTGTTGTAATTCTATCCTCTGAAAAGAGGTAACATCCAGTTGAAATGCAGACCTAAACAGGGCTAAAACCAATATCGCAATCCGAAATTACATAAAGATCGTGCTACTCAATGCTGACTTCAGTAGTGAAGTTTATCCGATAATATTAGGATCAACGTGTTTAAATGTGGTTTGCCATTTTTGCTTTGTAGTGCGAGAAATTGTAACGTATTTGGTAATCGGTGACTGGAATTCTATAAGTTGCGGAAATACGGGAATATTTGGTCTGTCCGTCACACAGCATTTTGCAACATTTAAGTGAGAAAGCGATTTAACCGTTCAGTTTTCAGACTATTTCCTCAATTTCGTCATCGCATCCAGTGGCAGCTATTGGACAAACTGCAGTAATAGAACTATGATACTCTGTAGATCAGTTTTCCTGACTACTGATTAACAGTAGGAAAAAGGCTCTTGGGTTTTCGCTGAAGGATATTGATGCCCAATGGGGATTGGCTCTACCGAATTCGGATTGTGCACTGTGAGAGAGTGACTGTGTACACACGAACCTCCCAATGCTAGAGCCAAAATTCATCGTTCGAAATCAGCCAACCTTCTGAGTTTGTGGTACAATTTTATAGATATGGTACTTGACAAGGCCTAAAATTTGGGATGGGAAAGCACTTTGACATGTGGTGGTCGATGTATCTGTATCACGTGGGCATATAATATGCAAATTTTCCTCAGGTGAGAAAACGAGCGGGGTAGACGTAAATTGGACTGATCACGTTGTGCACAAGATAAGAATCTACTAATTTCCCAATTTTGAACCGTGTGCCCAGGTACCGTTTACGAGTAACAAACTTTGCTGTGTGTGTGTGAGTTTATGATCTCTATCCAGCCCATACTGAACGAATGGGCTTGGTGCCCCGGGTAAATAGGAATCACTGGACTTGACAACGAAACCATGTTCGAAACCATGTGCTTCTTCATGGGAGTCAATTACAAGACATCATAATTAGTGTAATTCTTCTTGGCGAGTCCATTCGCCTGAATACGTCAAAAGCCGTTTGTAGTAAAGCGAAGCTACCCAAAATTTGCACAATTTTTAGCTACTGACAACGTGATAGTTCAAAATATGGCACAGATATGTCGTATCGCCACCTCGTCATGGTCTAACCAATCAGACCTTTGAGGGATAGGTGAATGCCGGTCATGCTGATTAAAGGAACAGAGCACCGCAAGTTACAGCAGG